GGGGGGGGGGGGGCCGGTCTGGACGTGGGATCCGAACCCTCGGACGGGAGCACCGCCGCGCTTCCCAAGCGGCGCACTATCCAGTGCGCCACCGGGCCGGCCCCCAAATCAATTATTTTTAATGCATATCTTTTTTTTTTTTTTTTTTTTTTGTCTTTTTGCAGGCCTGCCCCCCCCCCGGACTGGGGACCAGCAACGGGATTGCAAGCCTCGGTGTTGCTCCCGCGCCTCGCTCAGCCAGTGAGCGGGAGCCGGTCTGCACGTGGGATCCGAACCCTCGGACGGGAGCACCGCCGCGCTTCCCAAGCGGCGCACTATCCAGTGCGCCACCGGGCCGGCCCTTAAATGAATATCTTTTAAAGACATCTACATTTCTAAGGGCAAATATAATTTTGTTCTATTGGAATTCAAGATGTTATTTATCATGCTTTTGTCAGTACTTCGTTTTTATTTCCATTTTATTAAAATAGAAATTTCAGTAAATGTGTACTTGTCTTCTGTAGTCTATGACAGTGCTATCCAATAGCCATATAAGGTGAACCATATATGCAATTTAAGTTTTCTAGTAGCCACGTTAAAAGGAGTAAAAGCATGTAAAATTATTATTTTTTGTTTTCCTCAAAATATTCAAAATATTATGTTAACATATAATCAGTATAAAAATCATTGAGATGTTTTACCTTTTTATTTCATATTAAGTCATCGAAATCCAGTTTGCATTTTATACTTACAGCCTGTTTCAATCTGGATTAGCTACATTTCAAGTGCTGAGTAGCCACATGTGGCTAATGGCTCCCCATTGTACAGTGCAGGTCTGGAGAGTCAGAACAAATTCTTAGTATCTGAAGAATGGACAGATAAAAGGAGATATTTATTGTGTATGAATTGGATTTGGCCAGTATAATAACTAGTTGCCGAAAGTTGTAGTTGTCTTTATAGATATCAAAACTGGGCATTTTTACTCATTTGACAGTTAATTGGAGGAAATATGCTGGGAATATTGGGTAGGTGCAACTTTTACGTACTTGCCCTTAATATCTGTATTATGTAATTGTGTTATTTTTACTGTGTATACATATTTATACTTCCATGAGATTTCAGTATATGTCTAATAACCTTTAGCATAAATGCAGTTCCAACTACAACGAAGATTTTGTGCTACAGCTAGAGAAGGAACTGGTCCAAGCCCGACTGAGTGAAGCTGAGTCTCAGTGCGCCCTAAAGGAGATGCAAGATAAACTTCTGGATATAGAGAAGGTAAGAAACTACATAAATGCTGTCACTCCCAAATTAGAGGGAATATATCATAGATATTTAAGTACAAGTGTACTTTAAAAAGTTTGTGGAAAAGTAAAATTAAAAGAAAATACAAATCTTCCCATGAACTTTTTTTTTTTTAAATTGAAACATATCGATTGTACATATTTATGGGGTACAGAGTTATATTTCATTACACGTATACACTGTGTATTGATCTGTTCAGGGTAATCAGCTTATTCATCTTTGCAAAACTTAATCATTTCTTTGTGGTATACACATTTGATCTCCTCTCTTCAAGTCATTTGGTTACATGCAGTAAATCATTATTGATTGTACATTTCTGGGTTGATTTTGCACCAGTAGGGCTTATTTTTCCTGTCTCTCCATGCTTTTGTGTCCATTGACTAGTCTCTCACTATCTCTCCTTCCCCCTCACGTTTCTTACCTCTAGTAACCACAGTTCTTCTTTCTCCTTTTCACAGTTTAATTTATTATTATTATTGTTATTTATTTGATTTTTTGTTTGTTTTGTTTTGTTCTCTTTTTTTTTTAAGCTCCCACGTCTGAGAGAAAATGTGGTATTTTTCTTTCTGTTCCTGGCTTATTTCACTTAACATAATTTTCTCCAAGCTCATCTGTGTTGCTATGAATGGCAGAATTTCGTCCTTTTTTCTGGCTGAATAGTATTCCATTGTGTATATGTACCACATTTTCCTTATCGAGTAATCTGTCAGTGGACATTTAGATGGGCTCCATATCTTGGCTGTTGTGCAGAGAGCTGCAATAAACACGTGGTCAGGTATCCCTTTGACATGATGCTTTCCATTGCTTTGGGTAGATACGTAGTGGCAGGGTCATATGCTGGGCCATATGGTAGTTCTATCTGTAGTTGTTTGAGAAACCTCCCTACTGTTTTGCATAATGGCTGGACTAATTTACAATCCTACCAACAATGTATAAGGGTTCCCCTTTCTCTGTATACTCACCAGCATTTGTTATTTTCTGTCTTTTTGATAATAGCCAGTCTACCTGGGATGAGATGGTATCTCAGTATGGTTTTGATCTGCATTTCCTTGTTGTTTAGTGATGTTGAGATTTTTCAAATAACCATTGGCTATTTGTATGTCTTCTTTTGAGAAATGTCTATAGAGCTCCCTTGCCCATTTTTTAATTGGGGTACTTGTTTTTTTTTACTATTGAGTTCTTTGGGTTCCTTGAATATTCTGGATATTAGCTCCTTGTCAGATGCTAGTTCACAAATGTTTTCTCCCATTCTGTAGATTATCTCTTTGCTCTGTTGATTGTTTCCTTTGCTATGCAGAAACCTTTTAGTTTGATAAAATCCCATTTGTTTATTTTTTGTTTGATTGCCCATGCTTTTGGGGTCTTAGTCATAATATCATTGCTTAGTACTGTGTCTTGGAATGTTCCTCTGTGTTTTCTTCTAGAGGTTTTATAGTTTCAGGTCTTATATTTAATTCTTTAATCCATTTTGAGTTGATTTTGGTATACGGTGAGAGATAGAGGTCTAGTGTTCCAGCACCATTTATTGACAAAGCTGTCCTTTCCACGGTGTATGTTTTTAGCACCTTTATCCAAGATCAATTGGCTTAAGCATGTGTGTTATTTCTGGGCTTTCTATTCTGTTCCATTGGTCCTAGTGTCTGTTTTGATGCCAGTACCACATTGTTTTGTTTACTGTAACTTTGTAGTGTAATTTGAAGTCAGGTAGTTTAATGCCTCCCACTTTTCTCTTTTTGCTCAGGATTGCTTTGGCTATTTGAGATCTTTTATTGTTCCATATGAATGTTAGGATTGCTTTTTCTATTTTTGTGAAGAATGTCCTTGGTAGTTTGATAGGGATCGGGTTAAATCTGTTGATTGCTTTGGGTAGTATGGACATTAATTCTACAATTCATGAGCATGGAATATCTTTTCATTTTTTTGTGTTCTCTTTGTTTCATCAGTGTTTTGTAGTTTTCATTGTAGAGATCTTTCACCTCCTTTGTTAGATTTATTCCTAAGTATTTTATTTTTTGGTAGCTATTGTAAATGGGATTGCTTTCTTGATTTCTTTTTCTGCTAGTTTGTTGTTAGTGTATAGAAACACAATTGATATTTGTATACTGATTTTATATCCTATAACTTTACTGAATTTGTTTATCAGCCCTAAGAGTTTTTTGGTTGAGTGTTTTCCTGTATATAAGATTACGTCATCTGCAAACAGGGACAATTTGACTTCCTCTTTTCCAATTTGGATGCCCTTTATTCATTTCTCTTGTCTAATTGCTCTGGCTAGTACTTCCAGTACTTTGTTAAATAGGAGTGTTGAGAGTGGGCATCCTTGTCTTGTTCCTGTTCTTAGAGGAAAAGCTTTCAATTTTTTTTCCCATTCAGGATGATGTTAGCTGTGGGTTTGCCATATATAGCTTTTATTGTATTGAGATATTTTCTTTCTATACCCAATTTGTTGAGAGTTTTTATCATAAAGGGGTTGAATTTTATCAAATGGTTTTTCTGCATCTATTGAGATGATCATTCTGGTTTTTAACTTTCATTTTGTTGATGTGGTATATCACATCCAATGTATTATTTTACATATGTTGAACTATCCTTGCATCCCTGCATTGAATCCCACTTGATCACGATGTATAATGTTGGATTCTGTTTGCTAGTAATTTGTTGAGAATTTTTGTGTCTAAGTTCATCAAGGATATTAGCCTATAGTTTTTTTTTTCCTGTTGTGTCTTTGTCTGGTTTTGGTATCAAGGTGATGCTGGTATTATAGAATGAGTTTCCAAGAATACCCCCTGCTTTGATTTTTCAGAATAGTTTGAGAAGATTTGGCATTAAATCTTCTTTCAACATTTGATAGAATCAGCAGTGAAGCCATCCAGTCCTGGGCTTTTCTTTGTTGGGACACTGTTGACTACTGATTTAATCTTGTTACTTGTTATTGGTCTGTTCAAGTTTTCCATGTTTTCTTGGTTCAGTCTTGGTAGGGTGTAGTGTCCAGAAATTTACCCATTTCCTCTAGATTTTCAAGTTTGTTGGCTTTTAGTTGTTTATAATAGTCTCTGATGAGTCTTTGCATTTCTGTGGAATCAGTTGTAATGTCTTCTTTTTCAGCTCTGATTTTTGATATTTGGGTCTTTTCTTGGTTAGTCTAGCTAATGGTTTGTCTATTTTGTTTATCTTCTCAAGAAACCAACTTTTTGTTTTATTGATCTTTTGTATCATATTTGGGGTCTCTATTTCATTTAGTTCTTCTCTGATCTTTATTATTTCTTTCTGTCTGCTAATTTGAGGGTTGAATTGTTCTTGCTTTCTTGATGTGTAACATTAGGTTGTTTATTTGGGATCTTTAAGTTTTTTTGATGTAAGCACTTATTGCACTAATCTTCCCTCTTAGTACCGCTTTTACAATATCTCGTAGGTTTTGATAAGTTGTACTTGTATTTTCATTTGTTTCAAGGAATTTTTTTATTTCTTGCTTTATTCTTTGACCCATTGGTCATTCAGGAGCATGTTGTTTAATTTCTGTGTATTTGTGTAGTTTCCAAAGTTTTGTTCATTGTTAATTTCTAGTTTTATTTCATTGTGGTCTGAAGAGATACTTTATGATTTCAGTCTTTTTAAATTTGTTGAGAATTGATTTGTGGCCTAACATGTGGTCTGTCCTGGAGAATGATCCATCTGCTGATGAGAAAATATATTCTGCAGTTGATGGATGAAATGTTTTGTATATGTCTGTCAAGTCATACACAGACATATACAGAAAGACCCATATATTGGGGTCTCTCTCCCTTTAGATCCAGTAGCATTTGCTTTATATATCTGGGTGCTCTGATGTTGGGTGCATATATATTTTTGATTATTATATCTTCTTGCTGCATTGATATTTTTATCATTATATAATGTCATTCATTATCTCTATTTTTTTTTTTTTTTGTCTTTTTCCGTGTCCGGCAACGGTTCGCAACCCTCAGTGACGCCCCCGTACCGGACCGGGACCGGCAACGGGATCACAACCCTCGGCGTTGTCCCCGCGCCTCACTCAGCCAGTGAGCGGGAACCGGTCTGTATGTGGGATCCGAACCCTCGACGGGAGCACCGCTGCGCTTCCCAAGCGGCGCACTAGCGCAGTGCGCCACCGGGCCGGCCCCCATTATCTCTTTTTATAGTTCTTGGTTTGAAGTCTATTTTATCTGATATAAGTATGGCAGTTCCTGCTCATTTTTGGTTTGCATTTTCATGGAATATCTTTTTCTATCCCTTCACTATTAGTCTATGTGTATCTTTATTGGTGAAATGGGTTTCTTGCAGGCAGTATATAGTTGGGTCTAGTTTTTTAATCCATTTGGCTAGTCTATATCTTTTAAGTGAGAAATTTAATCCATCTACATTCAGGGTTGTTGTTGAAAGATATTGCCTTATTCCTGCCATTTTATTAATTTTTTATGGTTTTATATTTCTTTTGTTCCTTTCTTTCCTTTTTATTGTTTGTCTTTGTTGTTTGGTGTTTCTTTGTAGTGATAAGGTACATTTTCTTTTTCTTTGTCATTTGTGTATCTGCTCTACTAGTGGTTTTTATTCTTTCTCATGTATCCGTGATGATAGTTATTGCTCTTTTGATTCCAGATGTCAGACTACCTTGAGGATTTCTCATGATAGTGAATTCCCACAGTTTTTTTTTTTAATCTGGGAAAAATAATATTTCTCCTTCATTTCTGAAGGATAGCTTTGCTGGGTATAATATTCTTGGCTGGCAGTTTTTTTCTTTTAGCACTTTGAATATGTCATCCCACTCTCTTCTGGTCTGTAAGGTTTCTGCTGAGATTCCTTCTGTTAGTCTGGTGGGGATACCCTTAGTGCCTTGATACTTTTCCCTTGATGTTTTTAGAATTCTTTGTCTTTGACTTTTGACAATTTTACTATAATGTGTCTCAGGGAGGACGTTTTGAGTAGAATCTGTTTGAGCTTCTTGGATCTGGGAGATCATATCTTTCCCAAAACTTGGGACATTTCCATCTATTATTTCATTAAATAGGCTTTTAATGCCTTTTCCTTTTTCTTCCTCTTCCAGTACACCCATAATACAGATGTTTCTATGCTTAAGGTTGTTCGATATATCTCATAGGCTTTCTTTATTTTTTAAAATTCTTTTATTTATTTATTTTTTTGAAATTTAACTGGGTTAATTTAAAAAGCCTGTCTTCCAGTTCAGAAATTCCTTCTTCCACTTGTTCTAGCTTGTTGGTTAAGCTCTGCTGTGTGTGTATTTGTTGAATGAATTCTTCAGTTCCAGGATTTCTGCTTGGTTCGTTTTTATGGTTTTCCTGGATTATTATTATTTTTTATTTCATTGTAATTTCTATTTATTTTTTTCTTGCATCATGTTGAGTTTTCTTAAGATCACTGTGTGATCTTCAAGCATTTCACCCATTTCCTGTGTTTTGGGGTCTGGTATTGGAGAATTATTGTCTTCTTTTGGTGGTGTCATGTTTCCCTGTTTTCTCATACTTTTCATATCTCTTCATTGATGCCTGGACATCTGGTGGTGTAGTTGCTTCTTTTAATTTTTGGAGTAGTTTTTGAAGGGAGAATCTCTTATTTGTAGAAGTGTTCTGTATTGATAGTCAAGTTGGGTGTCATAGGTTTGGTTCTCAGTGAGTGCTGTAGTAGGTGACAGCTTGCTCCCTGCACCCTCTCTGCTGGGTCTGGCAGGACTTCTTGCTCTTGGGGAGGGAGGGTATGGATCCAGGTGGCCTGCATACCCACTGCACGCTCTCTACTGGTGCACACAGGTTAGCTGGGTCAGATAGAACTCTGAGCTCTCTGAAAAGGTAGGCATGGACCCAGGTGGCCTGCACACCTCTTACATGCTCTCCACTGGGGTGGGTGGACCTGTTGTATCAGGTGGGATGCTGAGCTCGCAGGGAAGGTGGGCATGAATCTAGGTGGCCCTTATACTCCCTGCATGTTCTCTGCTGGTGTGGGCAGGCCTGCCGGATCAGGTAGGAATGGATCCCAGACAACTGATTCACTCCCTGCTCGCTCTTCACTGTGGGGATGGGGTTGCTGGGTCGGACAGGGCTCTGAGCTCCCTAGAAGAAGGTGGGAGTGGATCCTCGTGGCTGGCACCTTCTCCCTATGCTCTCTGCAGGAATGGGTGAACCTGATGGGTCAGTGGGACTCTGACTTCCCTGGCTCTTATCCCAAAATGTTGACATCCAGTGGCAGTCTGGGACCACAGGGGCTGGGAGGACTCAGTGTGTACTTCCCTTCTGGAAAAATGCAGTCATGTGGGCTCTTAGCAGCTCCTCACACTGGGCTCACTGTCCACAAGGTCTGTACAGTTACTTTGCAGCCTGATTTGCAGGCATCCGTGTTCTCACTGAGAGTTCCTCCTTAATCTTCTGCCCAGGTCCTCTTTCTCCTTCTGATCTCTGATTCTTTCTCTTCTGCCATGAACTTTTTGAAGTACCCTGTACTTACTGAGCAATTAAATTGGAGATGGTGTTTGTACACAGTAGAGATCTTACATATTAGTTACTAAGAGAGGAAAGGAAAAAAATTTTTAAGATTGCACGTTATTCTTTGTTGCTCCCATACTCCTCAAGTGCCCATATTTAAGGATAAAAATGCTGATTAGAGCCCTTTTAGAGGAAAACAACCAGGATAATTTTCATAGGAAGAATATTTAAATGTTGCAGAAGAGAAACTTAGGGAACAGAAATTAACTATTATATTCAAACATTGTAATATCCAATATCATTTAGAAGAGATAGAATAGGACTAATACATAGACATTTCAGGGAAAATTTCATCTGAGTCTAATTGTTAGAATTGTCCAAGCTAGAACAGGTCACTTCAGGATATAGTATAGGAAGTTCCCCTTAGTCTGAGGTGTACTTACAGAATGTTAACTTACTCTTTTGAAGGATATGAAAGAACATCAAGGATTAAATAAGTAGTGGAAATAGAAAAACTTTTAGGTTTCTTATAACTCATATTTGAGAGTCTGTCTGTGTTCTAGATCATAAATTCTGAATCTCTCTTTTCCCCTCTATGAAATTATTGACAGCCTGGGCTCTTTGTTGAGTTTGTTCCTTTTTATCCCTAGGTAATATCTAGCTATTGAATCAAAAAGGCTCAGGTAATGGATATAACAGTCTCAGTTGTTCTTAACTATTTTCTTAATGAAATGTTATAGGTATAATGAAAATCAGTAGTGGAATAATTTTGGTAGAAATAAGCTTGCTATTTTTATATTATTTTTGGAAATTTTATTCTCCGATTTGTTGAGAGAGAAAGCCAGCAAAAATGCTGAAAGAAATGCGTAACAGAGTATTTGGTCTCTAACTTAGGAGTATTATGGGCTCTGTGATTTAGTTAAGAATCTCGGTTTTACAGTTAGAAAGATTTTGAATATTTGGTAGAAAGAAGTGTACTTGGGTCTGGTTTAAAAATGGATTTCTTAAGCGACCGTGTTAGTATACATGTTATAGAGTAGAAGGGACATGGGAAGGTTGCATGCTTCCTATTGCTTATTTCTTTGTGCAGCATCCTCTTTTTCTTTGTCTCTGGCAATCTTTTTAATACACAGGCAGTAAATTTCTGGTTTCTATTCAGAAAATATTTATAGTTAATCATAAGAATGTGTAATTGGTGAGAATAATTTTGTTCCATCATCCCTGTGGACTGAAATCTTCATGCCTACCATGTACTATTTTAGAGATAGAAAATTTCGTAGAAGCAGGCCTTGAAATGTCAATAGTACCTCAGTTTACTGAGGGAGCTTTTGTTAGGGACTGATTTTTTATCTCTTGATAACTCTCTAGAGCGGTTCAGTATGGCTACCCTATATCTTATGTAGGTCTTTTAGTATGGTAGCAGATTGACCTAAATCTTGTATCCATAATGCAAATGTTTAGATTACCTTGGTATTTATTAATTTATTGACTGTTTATGTAAATAGTGACTGATACACTTGACACCTCTTCCTAAGATGACATGCTGAGGAAATTACCACAGAAACAGGTTTTGGAATATTTCTGTTCTGCAAATCTTTAAAATATAAATGATGTTCATGTTTTACTTTGAGTTCTAATCAGAGGTTAGTAAGTTTGTTGCCATGTTGAAAAATATTTTTAATTCTGTTGCTCCATAACTCTGATTAGTATTTTATCAACAAAACAGAGTTAGACTTTCTGTGTTCTCAAAATTAAAAATAATTACCTTAATACATTGCTGGTGGAAACGTAAAGTGGCACAGCTGCTTTGGAAAAGTTTGGCAGTTTCTTAAAAGTTAAACATAGAATAATTATCTTCTGAGGCAGCAGTTCTACTCCTAAGTATATATTTAAGAGAATTGAAAGCATAATTCCACACAAAAGCTTTTACACAAATGTTCATAGCAGCATTATTCATAAAAAAGTGGAAACAACCTAAATTTCTGTTAACTGATGAATGGATTAAACAAATGTGTTATGTCTATACAAAGGAATATTATTTGGCAATGAAAAGGAATGAACCTTGAAAACACTGTGCTAAGTGAAATAAGCTAGTCACAAAAAGCCACATATTGTTTGATTCCATTTATGTGATATGTCTGGAATAAGCAAATCCATAGAGAGAGGAAGTAGATTAGTGGTTGCCATGGGCTGGGGGAATGGGAAATATAGAATGACTGCTTAATAGATATAGAGTTTGGGGGGGAGGAGGGGTGATATAAATATTCTGATATTAGATCATGGGAATGGTTAAACAACCCTGTGAATATTCTAAAAAGCACTGACTTGTATACTTTAAAAGGGTGAGTTTTATGATTTGTGAATTATATTTCAATAAAGCTGTATAAAATTAAGTACAATTATGTATGGGACAAAATAGCTCTTATGTGTGCTATATTTTATTTTATTCCTTAAATTTAACAATCCCAAATTAAATTTTCTGTTGCTTTAGAGGAACAACTCCCTTCCTGATGAGAATAACATCGCAAGTCTTCAGGAAGAACTAATCGCTGTGAAACTGAGAGAAGCAGAAGCTATTATGGGTTTGAAAGAACTTAGACAGCAAGTCAAGGATTTAGAGGAACACTGGCAGGTATATCGATATATTTTATGTGCTTTATAAAAAAGAGTATAAAACCCCAATATCCAATTTGTGAGAGTTTGAGGTAGCTGATGAGTAGGAGATGAATTTAAACTGATAAAGACCCTGCTTATGTCAAAATTTAGAGCATTTATAAATTTGAGAGTAAGTTTAAGCTTTGCCCCTTCCTAATTCTTATAATGAAATAAAAGATAGAAATCAAGTCATATTTTTGTTGTTGCACCACTGTGCTTATATAACTTTTCCTAAAGAACTGTAAGAAAATGTTTCTTTTATATAGTATATATTTTTTTCTTATGTTAATATTAAGTTCATTGTTGATCAGTGTGAAACATCAGAATGGTGATTCCAATATAAATTTGTCCATAAATGTGTAACTTCTTTTAAAAATTGGTTATCTCACAAAATAAATGACCTTAAGCTAGTTGTATGCCCACAAACGTATTCATGTATTAGGAAAACTGATGATTAGGAACAAAGTACAATGATCTGTAAGACAGAAGAGAGAGAGGAAGAAAAAAAAAAAAAACACTACACATAGTTTCAGAATAGTGATCTTGGTTTGAACTGAGGGAAGGAAGGGACATCTAGCGAGGACTCAAATAAGTCCTTGACATTGCCCTGGCTGCTGCTGCTGCTTTTTTTTATTTTTTATTTTTTTTTACTTAGATGTATTTTACAGAAGTATCAGGCTACAATAAACTGGAAATTTAAAAACAAACAAAACAAAACTGGTCCTTCACCACAGATATTTTGAGAAACACTGCCCTTAACTTCCAATATTGATTCCTTAATGAATGGCCCCATTTTTTTTGTTTGTTTGTTTTCTTGGGATTTCATTGACAATAATGTGAAAAATCTCTCATAAAAAAATTAGAGTGAAAATTATATTCTTTACAAAAATTAATCCACAGTATAGAGAAAAAAAGTTTTGAACTGTATCTGATTTTATATCGCAGGTGTGCCACTTACTGGCTGTATGACCCTCCTGAAGTTACTTAATCCCAATGTCCAGTTTTTTAAATGTAAAATGAAGATAATAGTGCCTACCTTTTAAGATTTTCTGGGGGTGAAATAAAAGAATGTGTGGAATGTGCTTACTGTAGTACCCAGTCTGAAATAAGGGTCCAGTAAAATTAGCTCTTATTTTGATACTGAGAGTATTTCTTGCAATATAATTTTTATGCTTTAGCGCCACTTAGCTCGTACTACTGGGAGATGGAAAGATCCAACTAAGAAAAATACTGTGAATGAATTACAAGATGAATTGATGACCATTCGACTTAGAGAAGCTGAAACACAGGCAGAAATAAGAGAAATAAAGCAAAGGATGATGGAAATGGAAACACAGGTATGATGGGAAAGTCAAATAGCTTTAAAAAGTATCATTAGCAGATCAAAGGTTTATGCACAGATTGTATCATCCCAAAATAGAGGTAAGAGGTGATGATGTTAAACTGTGTAGATTGCCAATTTTCTAGCCCAAAGGAAGAGGGCTAAAAATTGTTTTCTTTGATTTTGGAGATTTAATCTCTTTGACCCATTCAAGAAAGTTTAAACAAATCAAACTCCATTTGACTTTATTAAGCAAAACTCAGAGGGTTGCCTTGTTGCATGACTTGAGAGGGAACATTCATGTGGAGCAAAATTTCTCAACCTTAACACTTTTAACATTTTGGGCTAGAAAATTCTTTGTTTTGTGAAGCTGGCCTATGCATTGTAGGTTGTTTAGCAGCATCCCTGATCTCTACCCACTAGATGCCAGTAACATCTCTCCCACCCCGGGTTGTAATGACCAAAAATGTCTCCACACATTGCCAAATGTCCCCGGGGGGGTGGGGGTGGGGATTACCCCTAGCTGAGAACTACAGATGTGGAACATAATATGAATAATGCTTCCTGAAGTTGTAAAATGTGGTGGCCCTGAGTAGTCAATTCTAAATATTGCCCTTCTCAAGTCTCCCCGTTCTCTAATAAATTCTATCTGAAGTATACTTGACTTAAGATCTGCAAAAGACTTTTTATGAAATCCATTTGCATTGTAAAATCACATTTGGTTTTTATGTGGTATGTTTGTATGAACCGTATTCAATATATTCTGTGAATGTTATTCGGTTTTCAAATTATTTATTCAGTCAGTAGGGGGCATAGTTAACTCATGTATCATTCTGTATTCCAGTGTGCAAAACAGTCATCTCATCTCAAACATGATAACATGAATATGTAATTTCTTTAGAATAAATGTCTTGTTTTATATTGTTCAAAATTATTGTATTTTTTCGTGTAATTAAAAATAACAGGAAAGAGATACTATAAGATTTTGAAGAATACAGATCTAGGTTTTATAATGGGGATTTTTATTTTTATAATAAGATTGTGTTTTAGTAAAGATATTAAAGATAACAGACACAGCTTTTAAGCCAGTGTTGAGGATTTATTTCACAATGGGTGGAGGTGAATGAATTAAATTCAGCAAACATTGTTTTGAGAACTTGTCAAACACAAAGCACTGTCCCAGTCACTAAAGGACTTAGGCAAGAGAAATCAGGCATGCACAGACTACACAAGGGTACTTCAAAAAGTCTGTGGAAAAATAGAGTTAATACGAATCTTTCCATAAACTTTTTGAAGTACTCTCGTATTTAATGTAATTCAGAAATCTTGTAAGTAGAGAGTTAGGTAGAAATTGTTATGGAGACTAGAAGGGGAAAATTAATTCCAACTAGGTGGCTTAGGTAAAGGATTCCTACGAAATTAGTGTTTTGAACCAGGACTGACTAATAAGTGTGAATTTGGATGGATTTCTCTGGAAGGTGATGGTGTGAGGCAGTGGTTCCTAAATGCCAGTACTTGGACTGATGATGACCCATGAAATTTTCTCATTGAAAAAATGAGAAAAAGTAAATAAAAACAGTGTGGTGTAATGGTGGTGGTATATAGTCATCTAAAGAGTATTGTATCAAACACTCATGTATCCACCATCCAGATTAAGAGATTTGTCTGTGTTGATGTGTGTAACGCAAATTTCTTCATTTTAAGGACCTTTAGAAAAGTACATCTAGTAAGCATACCTCAGTTCACTGAGCCACTCTCCTCTTGCTGTGTACGGATTTTTTGCTGTTTACAAACAGTGGTGCTCTGAACATTCTTGCATGTGTTTCCTTGTGTATATTTCCAAGAGTTTAAGTACAGGAATTCTTATCTTTTTTGTGCTGTGTACATTGTTGGCAGTCTGGAGTTTATGGACTCCTTCTCAAAATAATGGTTTTACTGCATAAAACAATATACATAGGATTGCAAAGCAAACCAGTTGTATTGAGTTACAGTTGTCAAAATACTAAAACAAATTTGTGGTCTAGAATACATACACAGAGACACACACAACACATTCCCATTGCTGGATTCAGGTTTTAATATTTTAGATTTTTTTGGACATATATTCATAAGTTAAATTGTGCAGTAATTTTCCCATCCTTTTAATTTTAACTTATCTGTGTGTTTATATCTCTGATAAACATCATGCAGATGGATGCTTTTTAAAATCCAATCTGATAAATGGTTGTTCAAGTCTATGAATGTAATGAAAACCACTGAACTGTGTACACTTGAAGAAGGTGAATTTTATGACACGTGAACTATATCTCAGTAAAACTATTTTAAAAATCCATTCCCCATTTCTTTTAGCTGTCATATTTAGTTCACATTTTGTGATTCTATTTAGGTTGATGTCTGACACCTTGCTAAGCTATTTTCTGTTTGCTCCAGGTGTTCATTATGTCTTCCTCTTCTTCTGCCTTCTCTTGAATTTATTGGACATTTATTACGGTTCCATCTTATCTTTACAATTGACTTACATATACTCCTTTAAAGAAATTTTGTTGGTTGTTTCTCTAGGTTTTCTAATGTACATCTTTAATCAGAGCTTACCTTCAAATAATAAAGTATGTAATAAACAAATTATGAATAATAAATGATAATTATATGCTTCATTTGAAATACAAGGTTCTTACCATAGTATGTTCTCAATTCTTCTCCCCTCCTTTGTGCTATTGTTGTCATACATTTTACTTTTACATATGGTACAAACATAATATGTGCTACTAATTTTTATAATTTATTTATTTATTTGACCAGGAAGGGGATTGCAACCCTTGGCATGGTGTGGTCTGCACCACTCTCAGCCAGTGAGCGCACCCGCCATCCCTATATAGGATCCGAACCCACAGCCTCTGCACTACCAGTGCCGCACTCTCCAGAGTGAGCCACAGGGCCGGCCCCTAATTTTGTTTTAAACAGTTACCTATCATAGAAATTAAAATTTTTTCTAATGAAATTTATTTTCCTTTCAGTTATTCCATTTGAGCACTGTTCATTTCTGTGTGTAAATCCATCTTTCTGTCTGGCATCTTATTCTTTCTGCTTTGAGAACTTTCTTTAACATTTCTTATAGTGCTGGTCTACTGGCAATGGATTCTCTTAGTTTTTATTTGAGAAAAAGTTCATTTCTCTAATTTTGAAAGATATATTTGCAGGGTGTTAGAATTCTGGATCCACTGTTTCCCCCCTACACTCAACCCCCAAAACTTTAAATCAGTCCTTTATCTTCTTGTCAGAAACCATGCAAGCCAGAATCGTGTTGTAATTCTTATTTTTGTTCCTCTACATGTAATCTTTTCCCCCCCTCTAGCTTCCTTCAAAATTTTCTGTCTTTTGTTTCAGCAGATTGAATATGATATACCTAGATATGTGGCTTTTTGTTTTGTTTTGTTTTTGGCAGCTGGCTAGATAGATTTTTTGCATTTTTTCTGTGAGTTTGTTGGATCTATAGATTGGTGCTTGCTATGAATTTTAGAAAATTCTTGGTCATTATTTCTTCAAATATTTCTTTTGCCCATACTCTCTTATTCTGGGGTTCCAATTCCACTTACAGTTAGATTTTTTAATGTTGTCTAACAAGTCTTGGTTGCTCTGTTTTCCTTCCCCTCCCCCACATTATTTTTTCTCTTCATGTTTTCAGTTTCTGTTGGCTGAAATATTTCTACTGACATATTAAGTTCATTCTTTCCTTCACTTTGTTGAGTATTCTGATTAGCCACTGAAAGCATTCTTCACATCTGTTACTGTTTTTCATTTCTAGCTTTTCTGTCTGATTCTTATAGTTTTCATTTTTCTGCTGATATTACCTATCTTTTTTGTGTGTGTGTCTTTTTTTGTCTTTTTCCGTGTCCGGCAACGGATCGCAACCCTCAGTGTTGCCCCCGTACCGGACCGGGGACCAGCAACGGGACTGCAACCCTCGGTGCTGCTCCCGTGCCTTGCTCAGCCAGTGAGCGCGAACCGGTCTATATGTGGGATCCAAACCCTCGGGCGGGAGCGCCGCCGCGCTTCCCAAGCGGTGTACTATCCAGTGCACCACAGGGCCGGCCCTGATATTACTTATCTGATCTTATATGTTTTTCACCATTCCCTTAGAGCTTTTAGCATATTAATTGTAGTTATTTTAAATTCCCTGTCAGATAATTTTAATATCTGTGTCATATATGTGGCTAGTACTGTTGATTGCTTTGTCTCTTGGTAGTGTTTTGCTTTTTCTTGCCTTTTCCTATGCTCTATAATTTTTTGTTGAAAGCTGGATATTTTGTGTAGGATGGTGGACTAAGGTAAATAGTTTTTATGCATAGAAATGGGCACATTTTTCCTCCTGCTACATCTTTAATGTGGGAGACTTGAGTTAATATAGTCTGGAGATGAGCTGTGTTTGAGGTTTATTGTTTCTGTCGTTATCCTCAGTGTACCACAGGCTTCAAATTCCTTTAGCAATACCCTATTTTTAGAGTCAGGGCTGGTTTGCCAGAGAGTTTTTCTCAGTGTCTTTGGGTCTTCCTTTTGCACAACACCTTAGAAGAGGGCCTCTATCTAGCAGTATTCCACTGTTACTTGTTACAGGGAGCTGGAAGGGCAGAATGTTTCCTGTTGTTCTGATAATTCCCCAGTCTTAGACTGAATTATATCCTTGGACTGGGGTATTTGGCCTTTTAGTGTTTCTGCTTATCCCCAGCTGTAGACCTAGGCCCAAAACATAGTCCTGCCCCTTCCCCCAGTGCAGTGGCTTGCACTGGTATCCCAAGGGCAGCTGTGTTTGTTGACCCTGCTCCCTAGAGGAGACAGGCAAGGTTTAGTGCCCCTGCTATCGTGGCTGCTATTCCCCTCCCCAAGGTCTGTACCATGAGGTCTCTTTCTTAGGATTCTTGCTAATCTTTTTTTGTGTGCCCCTGCTGGGGTATATGAAGAAAAAGTGTTCAAGAGTTTGTGAACTTCCCTAGATCTGCTGCCTGTGGGGCTCTACACACTCTAGGTAGCCAACACGGGGCCTCCACAAGTTTGATATTCTAGCTGAATCGTGGCTACATCTGCCCCAGGTGAGAAAGTGCTTAAATCCCCCATCTCTCCTAGGAGGCTCCAGAGTTGAGCTTAGAGTTTGTCTGCCCCTTTTTTTCTTTTTTAGTGGAAAGGGCGGGAGCAGTGCTCCAACGCTCTGCCTCCCCAATCAGAAATCAAAAGTCCTGATTATGATGTATTAGGAATTGTTTATTTTGTACTCTCTATTACTTCCTTTGCCCCTCTATTTTTTTCCTGTTTCCTGCTTTTTATTGGATTGATTTTGTTTTGTTTTGTTTTTTTCACTTACTGTGTACTGGTTTGACTTATTTTTTAAAATTTATTTAAAAAAAATTTTTATTGAATCAAAATTGATGGCTTACTTCACTTAACATAATAATGCCCTCCAAGTCCATCTTTGTAGCTGCAAATGACAGAATTTCATTCCTTTTATTGGCTGAGTAGTATTCTACTGTGTATATATCCCACATCTTTTTATCCATTCATCTGTCTATTGTTGGACTCTTATGTTGAGTCCATACATTGGCTGTTGTAAATTGTACTGTAATAAACATGGGAGTTCAGATATCTCTTCCACATACCAATTTCATTTCCTTTGGGTATATACCCAGAGTGGGGTTGCTGGATCAAATGGTAGTTTTATTTTTAATTTTTTGAGGAAGCTCCATACTGATTTTCATAATGGCTGTATGAGTTTACACTCCCACCAACAGTGTGAAAGTGTTCCCTTTTCTTCATATCCTTGCCAACACTCATTTTCTTTTGTCTTTTTGATAATAGCCATTCTGGTAGGAGTGAGGTAGTATCTTGTTGTTTTAAGTTACATTTCTCTGATGATTAGTGATATTGAGCATTTTTTCATATGCCTTTTGGCCATTTGTATGTCTTCTTTTGAGAAGTGTTTGTTAGGAACCTTTGCCCATTTCTCAATTGGGCTATTTGGGTTTTTTTTGTTGAGTTGTTTAAGTTTCTTATATATTCTTGATATTAACCCCTTGTCAGATGTGTAGTTTGCAAATATTTTCTCCCATTCTGCAGGTTGTCTCTTCACTCTGTTAACAGTTTCCTTTGATGTGCAAAAGCTTTTTAGTTTGATGTAATCCCACTTGTCTATTTTTATTTTTATTGCTTATGCTTTTGAAGTTTTATTTTAAAAAATCCTTGCTCAGCTTCATGCCATGGATCATTTCCCCTGTGTTTTCTTTTAGTAATTTCATAGTTTCAGGTTTTACATTTAAATCTTTATTCCATTTTGAGTTGATTTTTGTATATGGTGAGGGGGGGGGTCTAGTCTCCCTTTTCTGCATGTACATATCCAGTTTCCTCAGCGCTGTGTTATAGTGTATCTTGGTGAGGATTTATTTGTATTTGTCCTGGCTTGGGACTAGTTGTGCTTTCTGAACTGTGGATTTATATCTTTTTCTTCAATTGTGAAAAATTCTCAACTGTCTTCACAGCTTGTGTTGAAGCGTGTCCTTCTAAAGTGTAGTAATTTGCTCTGATGATAGCAGGTAAGATAGTAAAAAGAGGTTATGGAACATTTTGAATAAGTACTAAGAAGTTCACTTAATTTTGTAAACAGACAGTATTTGGTGACTGAAAGAAGAGAGTAATAGAGGATAGTCTTAAAAAGATGGCTGTGTTAATCTGTTTTTGTGTTGCTTATAACAGAATACTGGGAACTGGGTAATTTATAAAGAAAAGAGGTTTATTTGGCTTACGATTCTGGGACAGCTGCATCTGGCACAGGTCTCAGGCTACTTCTACTCATGGCGGAAAGCAGCAGGCAGCTACAAGCAGATCATGTGGCAAGAGGAAGTAAGAGAGAGAGAGAGAGGAGTGCCAAAGTCTTTAAACAACCAGCTTTCATGGAAATAAAGCAAGAATTCACTCACTGCCCCCACACTCCAGGGAGAGTATTAATCCATTCATGAGGGATCCACCTCCATGACTCAAACAGCTCCCAGCATTTCTTTTTTTTTCCTGACCGGTAATGGGATCGCAACCTTCAGTGTCGCACCTGTACCGGGGACCGGCAACAGGATCGCAACCCTCGGTGTTGCGCCCGCACCTCGCTCAGCCAGTGAGCGGGAACCGGTCTCCACATGGGATCCGAACCCTCGGCGGGAGCGCCGCTGCACTCCCAAGCGGGGCATTCTCCAGTGTGCCACCGGCCCGGCCCAGCTCCCAGCATTTCTACATGAGTTTTACGGGGACAGTAACATCCAGACTCTATCAGTGGCATTCTCCTGTTAGGCAGGAAGATAAGTAAAAGTAAAGATGAAGAAACACGGAAGTGGTAGAAAGTTCGGGAGCTTACATCTATTAGGTGATCCAGATTTTTTCGTTAAAACTGGAGGCAGAGTCATTTTAATAGAGCAAGATAGAGTAGGTATTATAATAGTAACAACCAAGCATTTGTTAAACATCTGTAAAACGTCAGGCATTGTGTGAGACTCCTTTCGTGAACTTTTGTCATATAATCTTCACAACACAGCTTCGAAAGCCACGTAGTAGTATCTGTGCTTTTACCAGTGCACTGAAATTGGTGGGATTATGTAATTTGGCCAACGTTTAAGACTGTTAAATGAGGAGTTAGATTTTACCTGTCTTTGGTTATGAAAGTCCCTAGACTTTCTTTCAGGCCACTGATAGAATAATTCAAGGCTATGTCAAGCCTGAATGGGAAAACTACCTGATGTTAGTCAGTTCAAGGTCTATCTTTTTTTTTTTTTTAGCATGTTTTATATATAATACAATAAGCAGCTAGCTTACTGAATTCCTGCTATGAATTAGGCCTGTGTTACATATTATCTTATTCTGAAGACAACCAAGTAGGAACTAGGAAATATTTTTATATGCATTTTTCAAATGAGGATATAGAGAGGCAGGTATATTAGCTAGTTTGTTAATCACCAAATAGCAAAGCCAGAATTCAAAACTACTTTGTGCTTCTTAAAAAGAGACTGTGCTAGACATTGGGGGAATGTAGACATACATATGACACATTTTGTGATATCAAGGAATTTATAGTCTAGTAAATGGTAATGGTAACTTTTGATCAGTTTGTGCTTTCTATTGGGAACTGGAAAGAGGAATTAAATTCATTCCTATATCTACCCACTTTGTACCCCTATTGCCTGTTTTAGAAATGAATACCTTTAAGTTGTGTGTAAACATCTTTACAGTTTACAGATATTTTTTGTATAAATGATATATTAAGCTATACTGAGGGTTTCTAATATGGACCATATATCTTTGGATGATTCAATTTTTAAAGAAGTTTAATATCTTATTTTTTTAAGTATTTATTTGTTAAATAATTTTGACGTATAACTAATGACAACATATTTTATATTATTGAGGTATAAAATGTGTAGATAAAAATTTGTAAAAATTTTCAGGCCTTTTATAAGTATTTCTTATGTGAGTATTTCTATTTCTCATTATTAGAACCAGATCAATAGTAACCATCTTCGAAGAGCAGAACAAGAGGTAATCAGTCTACAGGGGAAGGTGCAGTATCTTTCTGCACAGAACAAAGGACTGCTTACTCAATTAAGTGAAGCAAAGCGCAAACAAGCAGAGATTGAATGCAAGGTAAATATGTCAACTAGCTGGTTTATGTTTTGTCAGTGTAATAAAGCCTTTTTGGGGGTTTGTCTCATCATAAGTATATTATCTTAAGACAAAATAAAATCAAAGCCAGTCTTGCTTCCCACGTTTCTTGAACTTAGTTTTGGTGGTGGTTTTTGGACCAGCTTAGTAGCTCATCTTGTTTCTGGGGTAGATTTCAGGCAAGAAACCTCATTTTCAACCACTTCCTTGGTTAACTTAATTTCCTGCATTGGCATTTACTAGTATCTCTTTACAATTTTTCTTTTGACTTTAAAACTGAAACTTTTAATTAGCTCTACCAAAAAGACAGGTAGTTTAGAGAGGTTAGGGCTCCTCTGCATTGATTACTGATTAGTAAGCAGTTAGTATTGATAGATGTTTTCTGTATAGAGTAGAGAACAAAAGAAATGTGTATGTACCAGGGAGTTGGGGAAAAAAGGGTACATTACCCATGATTCTTTTAATCACTTTTTCTTTTTTTGTGAAGTGTTTGGATTAAAAAGCAACAAAAGAATTTGAAAGAACATATTTTTCTTAAAATAAATTTACAGTATAGCAGTGTTGAGAGAAAGGGGCTAGAGAGTGCGGTGGAAGGAAGGGGAGGGTGTGTGTGTGTGTGTGTGTGTGTGTGTGTGTGTGTGTGTGTGTGTGTGTGTGTGTGTGTGTGTGTGTGTGTGTGTGTGTGTGTGTGTGTGTGTGTGTGTGTGTGTGTGTGTGTGTGTGTGTGTGTGTGTGTGTGTGTGTGTGTGTGTGTGTGTGTGTGTGTGTGTGTGTGTGTGTGTGTGTGTATGAAATAACTAAAGAGAGGATCATAGTCTGAGCATTAGAATACATTACTAAAGGCAAGTTATGGGATTTTAAAAATAAACTAGACATCCACCTTTCCATGCTGAGATAGTAGGAATGATATTCTTTAAAGATTACAACTTTATTATTCTATTAGAAATAAGACTTTCAATGGCACATATAAAGCTGTAATTCCATCAACTTGTTCTGGTGTCATTAAAAACCAAGAGTGAAGCTTGAGTGGTTTATCAGTGTCACTGAAATCCAGAGATGAAATTACATCCTAATAAATATTCATGGCTGTTGCAATTTATGCTGACAGAAATCTGTAGGCACTACTGAAATTTTTACTAACTTAAGCATAATTCCTCTTGAAGGATATGACTATACTAATTTAAAAATAAATGATGTGAAATGAGGTTATATCAATGCGATTTGTCATACCAATATCTGATTGAGTTTTTATGACACTGTATTGTCGGTGCTAACTTATCTTTACTAGAAAACTAAATTTAGTCTTTTCTCATTATTGGTATAAGTTTTCCTTAAACATATTTTGATAACATTATTACTGGACTTAATATTGCTTCTCAAATAGCTTAGCACCTGTTAAGCAAAGTGTTCTTTGGAAATATATGGGGAGCTTGCTGATGAAGATAAGTATTTACTCTGAATTTATTGCAGTAATGGGCTCAGATTCAGAATATTAGAATATTTTAAGAACTGATGTGGGATTTTATTTAATTTTTAATTGTTCATTAAAACCTCTCTGAAGTATGTTACAGATACTACTCTGATATCTCCCAGTGTTTAAGCTATATATTGATTTATTGAATCTTTTGTAACACTTTTTGCAGATTTTGAGAATGACTGGTGTATTAATGTCACCCTAGCCCTAGTACATTCTGATTAAATGTATGTATTTTAACCTTATGTCAGAACAATTAAGGAACAAATCTTATTTTTTCAGGGAATCCTTTCCTTGATTTGTATAAATCTGATTCATTTTCATTTAGTTTTATATGATTATAACTTATGATTAATTGATAATCATTAAAGCTTATTTTAAAAGTAAGTAAATGTCAGAATATTGTTTATGATATTAATGCTATTTTCCCTTTACAACTGGATTTGAATATTCTCACTTAAAGATGAAATAGTACAAATCTATGAATCCCAATTTCAAAATTCAGAACACTCTGAAACCCAAAAGTTTTTCACAGATTTTACACAAATTCATTTGGAGGCAAATCTGATTTGGATTGATATATGGCCATTTATAATTTTTATTTATCCCATTTAGTGTGGATAATTATACTTTACAACTTCATTGTGCACATTGAGTGTACTGTTTCATTATGGTTGCTGCCTCAGGCCCTGCTGGATAATACTAATGTATGGTTTGTGCACCTCTTCTCTTTTCTAAAATCTAAAAATTCTGAATTTCAAATGCTCCTGGTTTATTGTTTTGTTTTGTGTGCCTAGAACAAAGAAGAAGTGATGGCTGTGAGACTTCGGGAAGCAGATAGCATAGCTGCTCTGGCTGAATTACAACAGCACATTGCTGAGCTTGAAATTCAGGTACCATATGAAAATAGTAGAGTACATATAAAAATAATGTAATAGCTCTCCCTTCCCTCAGTGCCTGAACAGAGACTTACATATTTATATGACTGTGATTCTATTTTTGATACTTATTCATTTCCAGTCCATTTTTTTTATTGTGGTAACATACATATAACATAAAACTTACCATTTTAAGGTAAATAGTTCTATGGCATAAAGTACCTTCACATTGTTCTGCAACCATCACTGCCATCCATCTCCAGAACTTTTCTGTCTTCCATAACTGGAACTCTCTGCCCATTAAACACTAAATTCCCATTCCTTCCTCCCCCCAGCCTTTGGCAACCATCATTCTACTTTCTGTCTCTTATGAATTTGACCTCTCTATGAACCTCATTTAAGTGGAATCATACAATATTTGTCCTTTGGTGACTGGCTTATTTCACTTAGTATAATGTCCTCAAGGTTCCTTCATGTTGTAGCATGTGTCAGAATTTCCTTTCTTTTTAGGGATGAAAAATATTTCATTATATGTATATACTAAGTTTTGTTTATTCTTCTTTCCCTCACCCCCTTCCTTCCTTGCTTCCTTCCTTCTTTCCAGTCATGAGTAAGGACATGCAGTATTTCCCTTTTTGTGTGTGGCTTAATTTCACTTAGCATAATTTTCTCCAGGCTCATCTATGTTGCTGCAAATGGCAGAATTTAATTTCTTTTTTTATGGCTGAGTAGTATTCCATTGTGTATATATATCACATTTTCCCCCAGTCATCCACTGGTGGACATTTAGGTTGGTTCCATATCTCGACTATTGTAAATAGATCTGCAATGAACATGGGAGTGGAGGTATCCCTTCAACATGATGATTTCCATTCCTTTGTTATGTAACCAGTACTGGGATTGCTGGATCATAAGACAGTTCTATTTGTAGTTGTTTGAGAAACATCCATACTGTTTTCCATAGTGGCTATACTAATTTACAGTTCCACCAGCAGTGTAGAAGAGTTCCTGTTTCCCCACAACCTCACCAGCATTTGTTACTCTCAGTCTTTTTAATAATGGGCAGCCCAACGGGGGTGGGATGATATGTCAATGTGGTTTCAATTTGCATTTCCCTGATTGCTTAGTGATGCTGAACATTTTTTCATATACCTGTTGGCCATTTGTGTGTCTTCGTTTGAAAATGTCTATTCATCTCCTTTGCCCATTTTTTAATTAGATTATTTGTTTTTTTTACCGTGCAGTTGTTTGAGTTCCTTATATATTCTGGATATTAATCCCTTGTTGGATGTATAGTTTGCACATATTTTCTCCCATTCAATAGGTTGTCTTTCCACTCTGTTGATTGTTTTCTTTGTTGTGCAGAAGCTTTTTAATTTGATATAATCCCATTTGTTTATTTTTTCTTTTGTTGCCTGTGCTTATAGGGTCTTATTCATAAAGCCTTTGCCCAGTCCTACTTCCTGAAGTGTTTCCTCTGTTTTTTTTTAGTAATTTTATGGTTTCAGGACTTACATTTAAGTCTTTAATCCATTTTGAGTTGATTTTGATATATGGTGAGACGTACAGGTCCAGTTTCATCTTCTGCATATGGGTGTCCAATTTTCTCAGCAACATTTATTAAAGAGGCAGTCTTTTCCTCAATGTATGTTCTTGTTTGCTTTGTCAAAGATCAGTTGGCTGTAAGTATGTAGGTTGATTCCTGGGTTTTCTATTCTGTTCCATTGGTCTGAGTATCTGTGTTATGCCAGTGCCATACTGTTTTGCTTACAATAGCTTTGTAATATAATTTGAAGTTAGGTAGTGTTATTCCTCTAGTGTTTTTGTTTGTTTGTTTTTAGGGTTTTTTTTGGTCAGAATTGATTTGGCTATTTGGGGTCTTTGGTAGTTCCATATGAATGTTAGGATTGTTTTTTCTATTTCTGTGAAGAATGTCATTAGTATTTTAATGGGGACTGCATTGAATCTGTAGATTGTTTTGGGTAGTGTGGACATTTTCATGATGTTAACTCTTCCAATCTGAGAGCATGGTATGTATTTCCACCATTTTTTGTCCTCTTTAATTTCTTTCAGTAGTGTTTTGTAGTTCTCATTGTAGGGATCTTTCACCTCCTTGGTTAAATTGATTCCTAGGTATTTTATTTTTTTGGTGACTATTGTAAATGGGCTTGCTCTCTTGATTTCTTTTTCTGCTAGATCATTATTGGACTGTAAGAATGCTACTGATTTTTGGGTGTTGATTTTGTATCCTGCATCATTACTGAAATTGTTAATCAGCTCTAAGAGTTTTTTGGTAGAATCTTTAGGTTTTTCTATATATAAAATCATGTTATCTGCAAACAGGGACAGTTTGACTTTGTCCTTTCCAATCTGGTTGCCCTTTCTTTCTTTCCCTTCCTGATTGCTCTGCTAGTACCTCCAATACTATGTTAATAGAAGAGGTAAGTGTGGGCTTCCTTGTTCCTGTTCTTAAGGGACAGGCTTTGAGCTTTTCCCCATTTGAGAAGATATTGGCAATTGGATTGTCATAAATGGCTTTTACTGTGTTGAGATAATTTCCTTCTATACTTAGTTTGCTGAGAGGCTTTATCATGAGGGATGTTGAATTTTGTTGAGTGTTTTTTTTTACATCTATTGAGATCATCATGTGGTTTTTGTCCTAGGTTTGGTTGATGTGGTGTATTACATTTATTGACGTGCTTATGTTGAACCATTTTTGCAACCCTGGGGTGAATCCCACTTGATCCTGGTGTATAATTTTTTGATGTGTTGCTGTATTCTGATCTCTAATATTTTGCTGAGGATTTTTGCATCTGTGTTCATCAAGGATATTGGCCTGTAATTCTCTTTTTTTGTCATATCTTTGTGTGGTTTTGGTATTGGGGTGATACCGGCCTCATAGAATGAGTTTGGGAGAATGGCTTCTGTTTCAACTTTTTTTTGGAATTGTTTGAAGAGAATTTGTATTAATTACTCTTTAAAGGTTTGATAGAATTCAGCTGTAAAGTTATCCAGCCCTGGGCTTTTCTTTGTTGGAAGATTGCTGATTACTGCTTCACTCTCAGTGCTTGATATTGGTCTTTTCAGGTCTTTTCCTCTTCGTTCAGTCTTGGTTGTTTGTATATGTCCAGAAATTTATCCATTTCCTCCTGGTTTTCATATTTGTTGATGTACAGTTGTTTGTAATAGTCTCTAATGATTCTTCATATTTCTGTGGGATTGGTTGTAATGCTTCTCTTTTCATTTTTGATTTTTGTAATTTGGGTCTTCTTTTTGTTGTTGTTAACTTAGCTAATGGTTTGTCTATTTTATTTACCTTCTCAACAAAACCAAGGTTTTTTTCATTGATCTTTTGTATCGTTTTTTTGGTTTCTATTTCATTTAGTTCTGCTCTGATCTTAATCATTTCTTTGTGTCTACTTCTTTTGGGACTGGATTGTTGTTGTTTTTCTAGTTTTTTGAGGTGTAGCATTATGTCATTTATTTGAAGTCTTTCTATTCTTTTGATGTAAGCATTTATTGCAATAAACTCCTTCTTAATACTGCTTTTGCAGTATCCCATAGGTTTTGGTATGATGTGTCTTTATTTTCATTACTTTCAAGAAACATTTTGATTTCTTCTTGGACCCATGGGTCAGTTGGGAGCCTGTCGTTTTAGTGCATTTGTATGGTTTCCAGAGTTTCACTTGTTATTAATTTCTAGTTTTAATCCATTGTGTTCTGAAAAGATACATAGAATGATTTTGGTTTTTTAAAATTTGCTGAGACTTGATTTGTGACCTAACATGTGGTCAGTCCTGGAGAATGTTCCATGTGCTGATGAGAAGAACATATATTCTGTAGTTGTTGAATGAAATATTCTGTAGATATCTGCCAGGTCTAAGATGTCACTTAAATCCTGTTTTTCTCTGTTGATTTGTTGCATGGAAGATCTGTCCAGTGCTGAGACAGGGGTGTTCAGGTTATCAGCATTTATTGTATTAGAGTCTGTTTTTTTTTTAGGTCTAGTAGTGTTTGCTTTATAAATCTGGGTGCTCCAGTGTTGGGTGCGTACATATTTATGATTGATATGTCTTCTTGCTGGATAAATCCCTTTATCATTATATAGTGGCCTTCTTTGTCTCTTTTCAAGTTTTTTGGTTTAATGTCTATTTTATCTGATACAAGAAGAGTTACTCCTGCTCACTTTTGGTTTCCATTTGCATGGTATATATTTTTCCATCCCTTCAGTTTTAGTTTGTGTTTGTCTTTACAGGTGAGTGAGTTTCTTGAACACAGCACATAGTTGGGTCTGTCTTTTTAATCTAGTCAGTCAGTCTGTGTCTTTTGAATGGGGAGTTTAATCTGTTTACATTTAGGGTTGTTATTGACAGGTATTGTTTTACACATGTCTTTTTATTGCTTTTTGTTTAGATGTTTTAAATATCTTTCATTCCTTTCTTCCCCTTTTAGTTTTTGTCTTCAGGGCTGCTCATGTAGTGGTGAACTCTCACAATTTTTGTTTGTCTGGGTAATACAATATTTCTCCCTCATTTCTGAAGGATAGCCTTGCTGGGTATAGAATTATTGGCTGGCAAAATTTTTCTTTTGTTATTTTGAATATATCATCCCATTTTCTTCTGGCCTGTAGGGTTTCAGTTGAGAAGTCTGCTGTTAGTCTAATAGGGGCTCCCTTATAGGTGACTTGATTCTTTTCTCGTGCTGCTTTTAGAATTCTGTTTGTCTTTGAGCTTTGCCAGTTTGACTATAATGTGTCTTGGAAAGGATCATTTTGGATTGAATATGTTTGGGTGTCTTTGGGCTTCCTGGATCTGAAGGTCTGCATCTCTCCCTATACCTTGGAAGTTTTTTGTTATTATTTCATTGAATAGGTTTTCTATAGCTTTTCCTTTCTCCTCCACTTCTGGAATACCCATGATTTGGATCTTTGTGTGCTTGTAGGTATCTGCTAGTTCTCTTAGATTTTCTTCATTTAAAAAAATTCTTTTGTGTGTATGTGTGTCTGCCTTGGTTAT